TGTGTGTGTGTGTGTGTGTGTGTGTGTGTGTGTGTGTGTGTGTGTGTGTGACATATTAAAGAACAGGCTTAGAGCTACTGCCCCCAGATGGCTCATTTTAGATAACACAAATGTTTTTGCCTTGTTCACTGACTTAATTTAAAAAATGCTGTTCATGTACATGATGTTCCTGATGAAAGTAGGAGATCATATCATACAGTATGTAGAATATGACTTAGTGTTTATCTAATAGTTTATTTGTTCATGACTATGCACACAAGCCTTCTCCCTTTCTGCAAACACACATCAATCTAAATGAGTCTGGCCTTCTTAATAAGCTCTATTGGCTTGCAGACTCTCATTCATGTTTTTCCACATTTGATTAAACAGATCTATGTACAATGTAAATAAAAGTAATTTTCTGCTGTAGGACATTATCCGTTATTCAAAGTCAGGGTACTTCTTTTTTTATTTTGATGGAGCATGTTTGATTTAGTTGTAGTTAATGTGGTCGTTACTCATGCATGAATCCAAATGACTCCACTAGTTAAGGTTAACTTCTCATTGGTTCAGTTCGTGATTAGTTCCTGTCCTTACTAGTCATTAGATCTTAAATACATAAATTATTCATTTAGAATCTTCATCATTTACATCACTTATAAACAGGGGCGTGTTATGCTGAGTTTTTTCACTAAAGTATATACGTTTCTGTGACTTTGCAAGGTTCTTTTATAACATTCAAATACTAATTCATGATTCTCAAAATAGGTTTTTAATTTTATTTGCTCATTTGGCTGGTTAGCATGGGCAGTTAGTCCCTTCTGGTATAAATGTCGTTAAAAAATAATCTGGTTATCAACACAGAATATAATTTTATTTCACAGTTTATTTCTGAACATTGGACTATACCTTAATAGAAGAAACATACTGCATTGTGCTTGTTTTTCTGTGTGCATACATGTTTTGCTATACTTGTGAGCCAGTTTTATTCAATGTTTTCACAAATATATTTTTGTTATATTAGTAGTAGTAACCTGACTCGAAAGACTCATAAATCAGTCTTTAAAAATAATGTTGGTTGCACTTTACTTTACAGTATGTGCACTTACCTGTACTTATAGTGTTCTTAAGAAAGTATAAGGTAACTACATGGGTTAGGGTCAGGAACATGCAGAGTTCCTGGGGGTAGGGGCTCAAATGTAAAAAAGCGGGTATTTATATATGGAGTATTTCCAATTTAACAATTACTACAGTAAAATTATATATATGCATATTTATAAAAATAAAGTCCTTTGTGTGTTCTTGAACTTGAATTGCATACACTTCACGTAATAGGCCTGTTGGTGGCACTTGGGCTTCATTTAACCAATGGTAAACCAGGGCTGTACAGTGCTACAGAAAAACTGGTCTGTGCGATGAATAAATTTACCACTGTAGCACGGGTGCGAAAGTAAACAGTTGAGAGAGAAACGAATGGAGCTCTTAAAGGGACAGTAGCTACTAAATATGCTGCCACCTGTAATTAAAGGGATAGTTCACCCAAAAAAAATATTTCTGTCATTATTTACTCACTCACATTTTGTCCCAAACCTGTATTAACGGTATATGTCAGTATGTAAGGAGTAAATGAAACGTTCCTTAAAATTGATGTGAATTCTACTTTAGCAATTTCAAGAAGAAAAAAAAACTGAAAACAGAGAGTGGCTACATAGTTTTTACACTGTTCCACTTCACATTGTCCAATGAAATTTAAGCTTGTTTAAGAGGCACACAATGCACAATGCGATGTCTCTGACTTACAGATATAAGTAGAAATAAACAGGTTTTGAGTATACCGTTACTCTTTTGTACACACAATATTGACCACAATATTATTTTTGATAACTGTTGAAAGAGGGGCACTTTTGGTTAATTTTGGAAAAAGGGCAGGGGGCTTGAGCTCTCTGCACGTGCCTGGTTAGGGTTATGTTTAGGGTACGTTCAGGGCTAGTACCTAGTTATTACTCAGTTATTGTAATTACTATAACCAAGTACATAGTATGTACATGTGGAACAGGACTGTAAAAAAAAGTGGTACCATAACGTCAACATGAAGTTGACATATAGTACATATAGTTCTCAACTTTATACGGCCCTTATATAGCCTTTACGGTCTATGATCCTGCATAGTTTAGCTCCAAACATGATCAACTCACCTTTGCCTGTCATTTTTTTTAAATCCCAAAGGGCTTGCTCATTTTTGTTTGATCAGGATTATAACCAAACGTTGCAGGTCAATTTTCCAATAATTATAAAATATTCACAAATCTTCACAAGTCCTTCTGAAGCTTCAAAGTTAGAGTCCTGCTCAACATTAAACACCTGAATATGATGGTCTAGTAAGTGCATATGGCTATGTCGCAAATGTTTCTGCCCCAGCAGTCACAACATGATTAAAATTATAATTTGAAGAATGCTATATATTAAAAAGCTTTACATTAACTGACTTTCTATTAATGCAGCACATGAAATGACAACCATCAATGGTTTCATGTTTTACATTACACACAGTTTAGCATTATGTGATTCATTTACAACAAAACATAAGAAAACATGTTTTGTTTTTCCTATTAAGGATGTCTTTCCTAATAAAAAAAGCACCCAATAATTGACTTGTAGTTCCTAAACCTTTTTCATAAACAGGGCTGGTCTTTGGGCAGTGTAAAATGAACAGTTTAGGTGGGTGACTCTTAAAGGGATAGTTCACCCAAAAATGAAAATTTGATGTTTATCTGCTTACCCCCAGGGCATTACCGCCACCTATCTCTTAAATGGACCATTGACACTCTATTTGAGAGATAGGTGGCGGTAATGCACTTATAAGTCTGCAATCTGTCGTAAAGCAAGAAGAAGAAGAAGACGCGTCACGCACCGGCTGTTGAGAATGCACTCAGGACAGTTCGAACATTGCGGTGAATCAGAGGTAAAAAAATTATATAAATACTGTTCAGTTTCTTGCACAGACCGATCGTTTCGTGTATTTACACATCAATGTATCGTCACAAGCCGCAGGGTTTAATTTGGTTTTGTTTGTGTATGTTTTTTTGACTCTCAAAGCCGTGATTCCCATTCACTTCCATTATATGACTGACAGACTGCAACGGTTTGAGTTAAAAAATCTTCGTTTGTGTTCTACTGAAGAAACAAAGTCACCTACATCTTGGATGCCCTGGGGGTAAGCAGATAAACATCAAATTTTCATTTTTGGGTGAACTATCCCTTTAACCACATACCTGGAGGGAATATTGTATATTTAAATATATATTGGTTGTTGAGATAAAACTGACTAAATCATTTACCAAATCAGTGCCACATTGACCATTGTGAGTTTGAGTTTGCTGGTGGCTTTGCAGGCAAATGCTGAGCTAAAGATGGAGATGATGAACTGCAGAACACCAGCAATATTCCAAGGATCCCCTTGGAAAAAAAATCAACATGCCCATATATAATGTTTTCACTGGCCAACTTAATTTTATTTTGTAAATATATACAAATTTTGATGGCTGCAAAACACTCCAAAATCGTTAGGACAGAGACATGTTTAACACTGTGTCACATCAATTTTCCTTTTAATTACAATGTTTAATCGTTTGGCAATTGAGGATACCAATTGTTAAAGTTTTGCAAGCAATTTTTTGTCCAATCTCACTTGATACAAGACTTCAGATGCTTAGCATTCTGTGATCGTCATCATCTGATTCTCCTTTTCATGAGGCCAGTCTAGCACATTCACTCTGTGTGCACGAAACCACACTGTTGTAGCACATGCAGAATGAGCCCTGCCATTGTCTTGATCTAATAACCATGGACTTCCATGGAGTTGGCCAGTTGCGGATGCCATCCACCTTCCTCTCGTCCATGAAGATGCCATGTTGACTGATGTTGTAGATGAGAAACAGGATTTTGGACTGATGTAACTGATATTTCTCGGTACAGGTAGAACTCTCAGTTTCTGGAGGACCTGGAGAACCCTAACCCTAATAAAAATAAATAGTTATGTCTGATAACACTGTTCTCAGTAACTAGTGAAAATACACAACCCTGTTTTTTTATATATAGAGCTATACGGACATCTAATGGCTACACCAAGGTATTACAGATGTTTTCCCCTCACAGATGTTTTTTTCCCCAGTGGCGCTAACCTGCCTCATTCAATGGATTTTAATTACTTTTGCACAATTTGAACTTAAATACTGCATGAATTGAAAACAAAATATCAATTGTGAATATTGTTTAGTAACATGAAATCCCTTCAAAATACCAAAGAATAAAGAAAAAAAAACATCACTGAAATGAAATATAGTACATTCATTTCATAAAAATAAAATTTTTATACAACTATATGGTTTCCGGTCTGTTTTGACCACAAACAACATGAATGTGACTCCTAAATGAACAATATCAGAAAATAGTAATAATAAAATAAAATGAAATAATTATAATAATTATGATGATGTTGATGATGACTATGATAATATAAAAAAACTGGCGTAAGTTATCAGAAACAACAATACGAGTTATTAGTTCCTTGCAACTTTTGGACAGTAGGATCTCCTCATTGTGACTCAGTATCCCTGGAAAGTAATAGACACAATATGTTAGTAAACAAGAGATTCAGACTAATTTTCAGTTAATGGGCGCTTGACTGATTGCACAGACACTATTGGAAGAGAGCTAAACTGGATGATGACATCACTGAATCATCAATGAATTGACTTTAACTGAAAAAATGACTATTTTCTATTGTCCTCTTGCATTATTGACAAACTATTTTCTTGTTTGACACTGTAAAGCTGCTTTGACTTAATCTGTATTGTATAAAGTGTTACATAAATAAAGGTGACTTGACTTGACAAGTAAGTTCCACACACCATAACAACTGTTTTTATAGGCTATGTGAGGAATAACCAGGAAAAGCCCATTGTCACACTCTTCACCAGTCTACTTGAATGAAAAAGGCTGTAGTTTACAATAAAGTATGCTGTTGTTTTTTTATTAGGAGTAAATACGTTATGTTATATGTAGCATAACTACATTTCAACATTACAAGTTTAAAGATAGTTAATTGTAAATTGAACTAGACTATAGAAGACTATTATTATATTATTATTACTATATTATGTAGTAGAATACAGTTTACATTGGACCATATTATGGTCACTTTATAATTCCTATTTATTCTGCTAGCTTTACCATTGTGGTTGTGGCTTGTTTAATGTAAATTAAAATACATGCATGGATAAATCTTACTGCCATTAATTATATAATTATAGTAATTACATCACCATTACACCACTAAAAAACATTTACCTGGTTTAGTGCCACATTGACCACTGTAGAGTCGGTGTTGCAGGTGGCTTTGCAGGCAAATCCTGAGATAAAGATGGAAATGATAAACTGGAGGATGGAGAACACCAGCAATACTCCAGTGATCCCCATATTATTGCTCTAAAAAAAAAAAAAAAGGAAATTCAACATTCCCATATGAAAACAGTTTAGCGAATAATATCTCAGCAATTATACTGAGTGAATTTCTCAATATTATTACATTACTAGGAGGCATCATATGCCTTTCAAACTCTTGGAACATATCTGGTGCACAAGTCACATGGACTATTTTTTTTCTTGTTTTTTTTATACTTTAGCTGTGCTTTTATGTCATTTTGAAGGAAATTTCCAGTCCATAGTCATTATAATTGTATGGAAAAGAGTGATCAGCACAATCTCTATTAGTAAAATTAGTAAGTGATGACACAATTGTCATTTTGGATTGAACTATTAATTTAACCAAATAAAACAGCAATTAAAAACTAAAAACAAATTTAAACAGATCATATTAATATATTGCAAATTGTACATTTAGTACCTTCAATTTTGAACAAATGACAGTGTCAGTACGATTGTCGTTATAGTCGTAGTTATAGGTGCATCTTCGATAGGGCGTTGAAATGTGATGTATCTCTATGGCCATCAGAGTAATGGCGATCGCTGCAGTTATGGCACTGATCACATTCATTCCAAGAGAGGCTTTCACCTACAGGAAGAAAGGCTGATGCTTAAAAGGTGACATATAGTTATAATAATGGTGTACACATGTAAAATGGCTTGAAAACTGAAAATGAGTCAGATGTTCTTTTAGTCCACATCCTTTTAGTGGTAAAAGGGTCTCGTGTTTCAGACTACTGTGGTAAAAGAGAGTTTATCATGGAAAGTTTTGTGGTTGCATTTTATTCTGTTTACACAAATGTATTAGGGTGACTAAAATCTCCCTTAAGATGTTTTTTTTTGTTTTTTTTATTACTCATCCCAAAATATATGTTGATCAAAAAAATATTTATTTTTTCTTGAATACTGGAGCATCTTTTTTTTAAATATAGTTCTCATGTAAATACAAGTTACATAAAAAGCTGTTGTTCTTTTTCGTTTTAATTCAAAATTATGTAAATATTAAGGCAGCGAAATTTATGTATAGGAAAATTGTGTTGATTTTGTTGCTATTTGGTTTTTAAGAGTTTGAGAATAAAATCACAAAGTCCTTTTACCCCGTAGCCCCACTGTACCCTACTTTTCAGCACATTATATATACATACCACACACAGATGAAGTTTTTTCTGCGCTGCAACAGACAGAGAGCCAGCACTGATGTACTGAGAAAGACACACAGGACATGTTAAAGTTCATTCTGGAAATTAGAATAAGAAGCTAGAAAGCAAAGACGTGAAAAAGAAACTTACAATAAGGGATCCCCAGTAGGTGATGCCACTAAAGATAAAAATGGGTGACTCAAAGGTATTGATACTAGTGGTGCATACAATACCAAACAAGAAAATCACCACTCCAATCATTATCTGGACAGTCTAGACAAGGAAGATATGGGTTAAATGTTTATTAATTTTTTATTTATTTATCTTTTTCCATAATGGTATATCATTAATGTTTGAAAACACACACACACACACACACACACACACACACACACACACACACACACACAAACACACACACACACACAAAGGAAAGCTACAGTAATGTTTTATGCACTACAGCCTTAAAGCAATCAGAATGGCACACATACAGTGGTGTGAAAAAGTGTTGGCCCCCTTCCTGTTTTTTTTTATTTTTTGCATATTTGTCACACTTAAAAGATTCAGATCATCAAACAAATTTTAATATTACACAAAGATA